CATTTAAGCCCGGCTGGCGTGGCTCGGTGACTGAGCATCCACCTCGGAACCAGGAGGTTTGACTCCCGGTCAGGGCACAGACCTGGATTGCAGGCTCGAGCCCCAGTGTGGGGCGTGCAGGAGGCAGCCGGTCCATGATTCTCTCTCATCGTTGATGCTTCTCTCTCTCTTCCTCTCTCTCCCTCTCTCTCCCTCTCTGAAATAAATAAAAACAAAGACACACTGGCCAGGCTGTGTGTGTGTCTGGGGTGCAGACCCGTGACCCTGCTTCCCTCTGCTCCCTGGCTCTCCGGCCTTCCACCCGGAGGACAGAGGGCGGGAGGGGCGCAGGGGGAGGAGGCGGCTTTGAGGGGAGAGCAGGCGCCCTGGTCCTGGCTCACAGCCCCCACTCCCTTCCCTCCCGCCCGCCCTCCTCGTCCCACTGCCTCCGGGGCTCCCAGAGGCACAGCCGAGGTGACAGCGATGTGGAAGCTCCAAGAACACAGCACGGAGTCCGCAGTCATGTGTCTCCATCGTGTCCCGTGCGGGCCACTGTCTCTTCCCCCTGCGAACCCCACACCCCGCAGAGGATGAGAGCTACAGGCCGGGCACCGTGGGCACCGGGCACAGCTGGCATCAGATACAGCGGGTACCGGGCACGGCTGGCATCATGCACAGCAAGTACCGGACACAGCTGGCACCAGGCATGGCTGGTATGGTGCTCAGAGCTGCCGCTGAGTTATGTGGCCTGGACGGGGCCACCAAGCCACCAAGGCTCCTGGTCCCTTTGTCTCCTTCATGTCACATCTCCAAGGAGCCAGCATCCCCAGGGCCTCGGCCACCATGCCCCCAACCCCACTCCAGTGACTCAGAGCCTGAAAGAGGGGCCCTGGGGGCAGCCCGGGGCCTGCAGGGAAGGCAGCGTGGGCCAGTGGCTTCACCCGGGACCCACAGGGCTGGGTCGCCCGAGGTCGCCTGCGGGGACTGTGACTGCAATGACACTCAGAGCCCTGGTCCAGCCCCTCCGACCAGAAACAGCGGGACCGCCATGCCCAGGACTCCCTGGCTCCCAAGCCCAGACCCCATGGAGGAATCACAGGTCCGGTCAGGCTCACGGCTTCCCTCCGGGACACGTGCTTTCCCAGAACCCGTCCCTCCCAGGCAGGTTCCCAGCAGCCCCAGCCCAGGGCAGCCTCAGGCCAGGCCCTGGGGTTGGCTGCCCTCTTGCGGCCGCTCCGAGCACAGCAGGCCAACGGGACACTCGCACTGCGCCCAGTAAGGGGAGGGAAGCAGGTGCTGGGTGAGGGGTGCCTGCAGGCCCCCACGTCTAAAGAGAGGAGAACATGAGCCCCTCTCAAGTCCCCGCTTCTGAGCCATGGACTAGCGGGCGGTGCTGATATTGAGGCCACAAGACCCGGGGCCAACACCTTCCGGTGCAGCGAGAGGTGCTTCCATAGACAGGTGGCCGCCCACCGCTCCTGCGCACACCCTGGGACGAGAGGGAGCTCATCGCCCTCGATGTTTGTTTCTTGTTGGAAGATCGGAGCGGAAGGCTGTGACGGTGGTCCCAGCGCCCGGCCAATGGGACGGAGCGCCCGGGGACTCTGTGCAGGCGGTGACACCTCCCGCCCCCACGCCCGTGGCCAGCCGCCTCCGGACACGGGAAGAGGATGTTGCTCCTACCCCGCAGTCCCGTCCTGAGGACTGCCCGGGCCTCCCCTGCAAACCGGCCAGGCCTGCGCCCCGAGGCGCCCTGGGACCCCGTGGGCGAGGAGCTGTCTGTGTTCCTGATTGAGTGTTCGGCGCTGGCCCAGTCAGGGACTTCTGGCTCCAGACCAAAGTTTTAAATAAAGAAGCACACAAATTATATTTTATATCTTTTTAATTGGTTTCAGAGAGGAAGGGAGAGAGAGAGAAGCATCAACGATGAGGGAGAATCATGGATCCACTGCCTCCTGCACGCCCCCTACCTGATGGGGTCTGCAGCCCGGGCACGTGCCCTGACCGGGAATGGAACCCTGACCTTCTGGTTCATAAGTCGATGCTCAACCATCGAGCCACACCAGCTGGGCACAAATACCTATTTTAAAGCACACAACAGCCGAAACAGGTGTTGCTCAGTGGATAGAGCGTCGGCCTGCGGACTGAAAGGTCCCGGGTTCAATTCCGGTCAAGGGCATGTACCTTGGTTGCGGGCACATCCCCAGTAGGGGGTGTGCAAGAGGCAGCTGATCGACGATTCTCTCTCATCGATGTTTCTAACTCTCTATCCCTCTCTCTTCCTCTTTGTTAAAAAAAAAACAGTAAAATATATATTTTAAAATAAATAAATAAATAAAAGCACGCGCGCGCGCGGGCGCGCACACACACACACACACACACACACGTGTATGCCCCACACTAAACTTCCTTCCAGTTTTAGGTTGGTAGCATGTTCAGCCTGGGCCGGCCTGGCGTCATGGGAAGGGGCGGGCAGGGGGAGGTCACAGTCAGCACTCTTTGGGAAAGCTGGGGTGCAGCCAGCAAAGGGGCACCAGCGCAGCTCATGCTCCCTGGCCCACAGGAGAGGCCCGGGGGCAGTCAGCACCGGTGTGGCCGGAGCAGGGCCTGGCTGGCCAGGTCCGCCTCGGCCTCTTCGGAGAGCAGAGGTGAGGTGGGGGCTGACATCACACGTGTCTCGGGGATGGTTGGGCGAGAGGAAGCCAGGCTGGAGCCAGGTCCCTGGTCCCTCATAACCGGTGCCCTGTGCGGGGCGCCGTGGAGTCACAGACACAGGAGAAGCATGTGGAGACGAGGCGGAGCTGGAGGCAGCGGCCACAGCCAGACACCGACAGCGGCTGCCCGCCCAGAAGCCGGGGGCGGGGGACGTGTCCCCGCAGCCTTGGGAGGAACCATGGACACCCCGTCTCAGACTCTGGCGTCCGGGGCTGGGACAGGACCGATTTCCGTTGGCTGATGCCACCCAGTTGTGGCGCCTTGTCACTGCCCCCACAGACGAAGGCGGCCGGCCTTCCGGCTCCCCGGCTCCAGTGTGTCCCCTAACTCTGCCCCCACCAATAGCCGAGGAGCGTGAGTGACGCCGAGGGAAGCCCATGGGCTGAGGCCGAGTGCCCACAAGCCCCGCCCTCTTCATCGCGTCTGCTGCCCAGGGTGAGCCCCCCGCTCCCTCCGGGGGGTCTCAGGGCCCAGGGTGAACCCCCCGCTCCTCCGGGGGGGTCTCAGGGCCCGGGGTGAGCACCCCGCTCCCTCCGGGGGGGTCTCAGGGCCCAGGGTGAGCCCCCCGCTCCCTCCGGGGGCTCAGGGCCCAGGGTGAGCGCCCCGCTCCCTCCGGGGGCTCAGGGCCCAGGGTGAGCACCCCGCTCCCTCCGGGGGGGTTTCAGGGCCCAGGGTGAGCACCCCGCTCCCTCCGGGGGCTCAGGGCGCCGCCCGCTCCCTCCAGGGGGGTCTCAGGGCCCGGGGTGAGCCCCCCGCTCCTTCCGGGGGCTCAGGGCCCAGGGTGAGCACCCCGCTCCCTCCGGGGGGGCTCTGGGCCCAGGGTGAGCACCCCGCTCCCTCCGGGGTTTCAGGGCTCAGGTGTGAGCGCCCCGCTCCCTCCGGGGGGGTCTCAGGGCCCAGGGTGAGCCCCCCGCTCCCTCCGGGGTTTCAGGGCTCAGGTGTGAGCGCCCCGCTCCCTCCGGGGGGTCTCAGGGCCCAGGGTGAGCCCCCCGCTCCCTCCGGGGGGTCTCAGGGCCCGGGGTGAGCACCCCACTCCCTCCGGGGGGGTCTCAGGGTCCAGGGTGAGCACCCAGCTCCCTCCGGGGGGGTCTCAGAGCCTGGAGTGAGTCCCCTGCTCCCTCCGGGGTCTCAGGGCCCGGGGTGAGCACCCCGCTCCCTCCGGGGGGGTCTCAGAGCCCAGGGTGAGCACCCCGCTCCCTCCGGGGGGTCTCAGGGCCCAGGGCTGGGGGACACGGGCGGGGAGCCCCAGGACCAGAAAGCTCTGAGCCAGTGGTTTCCACCTCCTCCCAACCGCCCAGTCGCCCTGAGCTTCATGCTCTGGGTTTCCCCTCCTGACCTCCAGATGACCTGACCAGGGGCAGAGCAGCGGCGAGCGCCGGGCTGGCCCACGCAGCGCTGACCAGGCGGCTGAGAGAGGGCCCTCGTTCGGGATCTGGGCTCGACTCCCTGCAACCCGGGCAGGGAGTTCTCCCTGTGGCTGTGCTATGGGGGGGGGGGGGGGGGGGCAGGTCTCTGAGGGGGGGAAGAGGCGGCAGGGGCAGGGCTGGGATGCAGGCACCTGGTCGGCGGCTCCCCTGGGACCCGAGGTGAGGGCATCACCCAGGCTGAGCGGGGCCGGCGCAGCCCCTGGTCCCTGCCGGTCCCTGCGGGTCCCCGGCTCCACCGCTCTCCTCCTTGGACAGCCTGGCAGCACCTCCCTGCCCTGCTCGGCCGGCCTGCCGTCCTGGCCCTCCAGTTACCATCCAGCATACAGCGGCCCCACCAGTCCTCCGAGCAGCGCCCTGCAGCCTCCCCGGGAATGAAATGGGAGGGGGGAGAGGAGAGGCAGGCGGTCTGGAGACGTCCCCCATCAGCTATCGGTGGCTTTGTGTTAAAATGTTAAAACCGGCACGTATTCTTGTGTAATTACAAAAACAACGGTTTCATTCTGGAAAAAGTTAAAATACTCTTGGAGAGAAAAGCAGCCTAACCACGATTTTGAGGACTATCAGAGGAAGACACCTTTTTTTTTTTTTTTAATGAAAGGGGGCACTGAACCCAACCCTGACTGGCTCTGAACTTAAGCTGCAGACACGGGCCCTCCGTGTCCCCATGCCGGCGGCAGCAGAGGCGGCGGGAGACAGGCAGAGGCCGGGGAGGACAGCAGGCGGCGGGGTGCTGCTCGGAGCCCGCGGGAGCCGGTGACAGGCCGGCCGGCCGCCGGGTCAGGGTCAGCCTGGGGCGGCGTCACTGACCCGGGGCGCCGAGAAGGAGGCCGTGGGGGGTGCAGAGGGCTGCCCGAGCCCCGCCCCGCGCCCGGCCGGCCCTCACTTCATCCTCTTGGCCACGGCCGAGTAGGCCTGCTCGATCTCCCGGTCGGCAGGGCACGTGTTGGTGAACTCGTCCCGGGCGTAGGCGTTGCTCAGGTACCGGGCGATGCCGGTCATGTCGGAGGGGATTTCAAAGCCCCGGTACCGCTTGGCCACGATCTGAAAACAGAGGAAACCGTCGGAGGGGCTCCCAGCTCTGAGGCTGGAGAACATTCTGGAGTTTATGGCAGCGATCTCTCCTCGGGCTCCCGTCTCCGCGTCCTCCCCCTCCTTGGTCACGGGCATCCAGGGGCCCTGGGTTCTTCCCGGTGATGGACACCTAGTGCACTGACCATGTAGCTACCGTGTGGAGGGCCAGGGCGGGAGACGGGGCCGCTGGTCGACCGATTTGGATCTTGACCTCAAACAGTTTCACCAAAGACTGCTCTGCACTCGGCCACAGGGGACACATTGGGGGTTACCGTCAGGGTCAGGGTCAGGGTCAGGGTCAGGGGTCAGGTTAGGCATCCTGCACTCGGAGGCTCACAGGAGGTCACCGTGGCTGGAAATGAAGCTCAGGCCCCGGTGGGTGTGGCTCAGTGGTTGGAGCACCATCCTGGGCACCAGAAGGTCGCGGGTTTGATTCCCCATCGGGGCTTGAGCCCCAGTCGGGGTGCAGTCTGGGCGTGTACAGGAAGCAGCAGATAGCTGTCTCTCTCACGCAGGGTCCCTGTGTCTGCCCTCCCATCCCCCATCCTTCCAGACCAAGGACCAGCTCTGGACCCGTCGGGTGTGAATGATAAAGAGGCCCCAGACCGGCTTCTTCCTGGGGCATCTGAGTCCCTGAGGCCGAGGGCAGGGCAGGGGTGATGAGGGCCCAGTGGCTGGCACGTGCAAGTGGCAGCGGGGCTGGGGCACCTGAGGAACAGCCATGGTTCCAGGGCGGGACCAGCAGCCCCGAATCTCAGGGCCGCCCCAGGATCCTGAGTTAGAAGGCCAGGACCAGGTGGAGGGGTGCACGTGTCCACAATTCTTGTGCTAAAGAACCACCGATCCGGGGCGTCTCTCAGCCCTGAGTCACATGACCCGTGACTTCCATTCCCCGTGCAACACCTGGGGGACAGGCCGCCAGAGCCGGCCGCGGCCGCGCAGAGAGCTGTCCCTGCTCCAGCGGCGGGGCTGGTGTCAGGGCTGAGGCCCATGCCAGCCGGCGTGGCGCCAAGGATGAGCGTCAGCCCATGGACCAGGAGGTCACAGTGTGAGGGGCTCAATCCCCAGAGTGGGGGGTGCAGGAGGCAGCCATTCAGTGATTCTGCCTCATCATTGATGTTTCTCTCTCCCTCTCCATCCAATCTAAAATCGATAAAAATATATTTAAAGGAAAGAAAAAGAAAAGAGAGAGAGAGAGAGAGAGGGAGGGAGGGAGAGAGAGAGAGAACTGGGGTTGTTGACCCCGGGAGGACCAGCCCACTGGCCCCTCAGGGAGCGCCCCCACTTCATCCTCAGAAGCCGCTCAGAGGCCCAGCCTGGAGCAGCAGGCGCGGAGTGACCACGTGATCCTCCCGTGGCGTTCGCGTGGCCTCCGTGAGGCTGTGGGCGAGGCCCGGCGAGCGAGCGGGAGGCCGCCCTGCCGACAGGAGCCTGAGCGGCCGGGTCTGACTGGGGCCAGGGTGTGCCCTGTCTGCCGGGACACGCGTCCACACGCCGCCCGCCGGGACACACGCCGCCCGCCCGCCGGACACACGTCCACACACGCCAACCGCCCGCTGGACACACGTCCACACACGCCGCCCGCCCGCCGGACACACGTCCACACATGCCGCCCGCCCGCTGGCCGGAGCACCACCTTGAGGATGTGCAGCTTGGGGAGCAGGTTGCAGTCGGCCAGCGTGAGCTCGTCCCCGTCCAGGAACTTCCGGCCGGACACGGCCGCGTCCTCGCCGTCGGCCTCGCCCTCGGCGGGCAGCGGGCAGTTCAGGTAGCCGTCCAGCCGCCGCAGCGCCCGCAGCAGGCTCCGCTCGTGGCCTGGGAGGGCACGGCGAGGGACGGTCAGCCCGCCCCAGAGGGAGGGCGGGGGCTGGCCTGGCCTCACTCTTCCCGGACGGAACACGATTCTGCCGTCCACACCCACTGCTGCCTACATCCTACTGCAGCCTACCCTCCGCCGCCATCTACCCCACTGCCACCCACCCCCACTGCCACCACCCCCACTGCCACCACCCCCACTGCCACCTGCACCCACTGCTGTCCACGCCCACTGCTGCCTACATCCTACTGCTGTCTACCCCCACTGCCACCACCCCCACTGCCACCTGCACCCACTGCTGTCCACGCCCACTGCTGTCTACATCCTACTGCAGCCTACATCCTACTGCTGTCTACCCCCACTGCCACCCACCCCCACTGCCACCACCCCCACTGCCACCTGCACCCACTGCCGTCCACGCCCACTGCTGCCTACATCCTACTGCTGTCTACCCCCACTGCCACCCACCCCCACTGCCACCCACCCCCACTGCCACCACCCCCACTGCCACCTGCACCCACTGCCGTCCACGCCCACTGCTGCCTACATCCTACTGCTGTCTACCCCCACTGCCACCACCCCCACTGCTGTGTCTGGAGCTCACTCACTTCCACGTCTCCATGGAAACCCTGCTGTGGAGCAGGCCCTGGTGGCAGCGTCGCTGACACTGCCTTGGGGTTCGCCCTAAACCATGTTTCTGCACTCAGCCCCAGAAGCCGGGTCTTGGGGACCCACAGGCAGATGCAGAGTGGGGGCACCTTTCCTGTCTCTGGCACCGGTCTCCCCGCTGACGGGAGCACATTCCCAGGACCCAGAAGCCACGCCAGACACAGGCCAGACCGCAGACACTCACTGTCGTGCGCGTCCTCCCTGGTGTTCTTGATGAAGGCGGAGAACTTGGCAAACACATCGTCCCCGGCGGAGTTGGACTCAGGGTGCCGGGTCCCCAGCTTGGGGTACCTTGGGGGAAGCCCCAGCGGGAATGTCACAGAGAAGCCGTGTTTGGTGGGGATGACGGGGAGGGGGGGTCATTGTCTGAGCGGATAAAAGCCGAGCGCTTTCCGGAGCTGTCCCTCTCCGAGGTCCGGGCCACGGGGCAGGGGACAGGTCAGACTGGCCGCTCTGGACCCGGCCCAGGCTCCCCTGGCCGCCCTGGCCTCACTCCCTCCCGCTCAAAGGAGGTCCATCCGGGGTCAGGCTCACCTAGGAGGTGGCCAGCCCCCAGGCACCAGCCACTCCACCCCCTTCCTGTCTTCGAACCCGGGCTGCCGAGCTGCAGGCTCGGAGCAGAGCCCACGACTCCTCTGGGTCCCTCCTGTTGGCTGTGGCCCCCGGGGGTGGGGAGAGGCTCCAGGGCCAGGGCTTCCAGCTACCGGGGAAGGGCCGTGGGGGACGGGGCGTGGGGACAGCGGGGGGCCCACCTCGGGGGGGCCAGGCGCTCCTCCAGAAACTCCTCGATCTTGTTCACGTCCGTCTTGACCTCCCCGTCGAAGGTCATGAACGGCGGGTTGGTCCCGGGGGCGAGGTTCTGCAGGTCCGTGGGTTTCCTGGGCGGAGGGGGGACAGACAGCAGCTTTGTGGGCAGCCCCCAGGGGGCGCTCCGTGCCCCAGCTCAGCGTGTCCACGGGAGAGAACTCCTGAGCACTGACGGGCCGGCCTCTGCGGGTCTCAGGGGCAGGGCGTGCGGCCCGCCAGGGCGGTGCCCGGCCTGCGGAGCCATGGCCGGCCAGGAACTGGGGAGCGGGCTCCTCTGGCGCCGCAGCTCCGACTCCGCCCTGATCCCTCCGCCCTGATCCCCCAGCTCCGACTCCACCCTGATCCCCTGGCCCCGGCAGTGACTACGGCTCACCCACCGGCCGGCCAAGCAGGGCCCTGGCTGAGGAGGGACATGCCCGTGACAACGCCGTGTGCCTTGGTGTGTGCGTGTGAGTGTGTGAGTGTGAGTGTGAGTGTGTGTGTGTGTGTGTGAGTGTGAGTGTGAGTGTGTGTGAGTGTGAGTGTGTGTGTGTGTATGAGTGTGTGAGAGTGTGTGTGAGTGTGTGTGTGAGTGTGAGTGTGAGTGTGTGTGTGTGTATGAGTGTGTGAGAGTGTGTGTGAGTGTGTGTGTGTGTGTGAGTGTGAGTGTGTGTGTGTGTATGAGTGTGTGAGAGTGTGTGTGAGTGTGTGTGAATGTGTGTGTGTGAATGTGTGTGTGTGTGTGAGTGTGAGTGTGTGTGAATGTGTGTGTGTGAGTGTATGTGTGAGTGTGTGTGAGTGTGTGTGTGAGTGTGTGTGTGTGTGAGTGTGTGTGTGTGTGAGTGTGTGTGAATGTGTATGTGTGTGTGTGTGTGAGTGTGAGTGTGTGTGTGTGAGTGTGTGTGAATGTGTATGTGTGTGTATGAGTATGTGTGTGTGTGTGTGAATGTGTGTGAGTGAGTGTGTATGTGTGTGTGTGTGAGTGTGAGTGTGTGTGTGTGAGTGTGTGTGAATGTGTATGTGTGTGTATGAGTATGTGTGTGAGTGTGTGTGTGTGAATGTGTGTGTGTGAGTGTGTGTGTGTGTGAATGTGTGTGAGTGAGTGTGTGAGTATGTGTGTGTGTGTGAATGTATGTGTGTGAGTGTGAGTGTGTGAGTGAGTGTGTGTGTGTGTGAATGTGTGAGTGAGTGTGTGTGTGTGTGTGTGTGAATGTATGTGTGTGAATGTATGTGTGTGAGTGTGAGTGTGTGAGTGAGTGTGTGTGTGTGTGTGTGTGTCTGTGTGTCTGTGTATGTGTGTGTCTGTGTATGTGTGTGAGTGTGTGTGTGTCTGTGTGTGTGTGTGTCTGTGTGTGTGTCTGTGTGAGTGTGAAATTAAGCCATTATTTCGATAAAGCAGGAACCTTGTCTCACCTTTTCAGGTCCACCGTGGTCACATTGAACATGACGCCCTTTAGCCAGAGGATCATGAAGAGGCGCTGAGAGAACGGGCAGTTCCCGATGCTCTCCCCGTCGCAGCCGGCCTGCAAGGAGGAGGCCGTGGTCTGCGGGCCGGGGCGGGGGGTCCCGGATGCCCGAGGGCTGGGAGGGGCTAGGACCCCACCTCGGAGCCCACACACCTCGCTGCCGATGGCCCTGACGTAGCTCCTCGCCACCCAGGCCACGGCCACCCCCTGGGCCGCTCTGCAGCTGAGCCTGTCAAGGCCCAGGGCCGGGCTGGGGTCCCTCCCGGCTCAGCCACGGCCTCCCCTGCGGCAGGTCGGCAGAGCCACGCCAGCGGGGGAGGGGGCGATGGAGGCGCAGGGACGGAGTCGCATACCCGGCCCGGCCCGGCCCCACTTGCTCCGCAGCCTCCAAGCCCTGTGTCTGCCAGCAGCTGGAGCGCAGGGAGGTCTGAGGGCGCCTGCAGCGGGCCGTCATTCTCCCCGTGGCCCCGACCCTCGGGGACCCTGGTGGAGCGCGTCCTAACGGTGGGCCATGCCCTCCCCCAGCCCTGGACGCGGCTCCGAGTCCCGGGCAGCCAGGCCCCTGCAGCGAGCCGCGTCTGCCGGGCGTCAGTCCACAGGGCGCGTCCCAGCCTCTGCCTCTGCCTCTCCCCACCTCCAGCCCCCGCCAGGTTCTCCCTGGAAGCCGTCCTCACCGGCTCCCCAATCCCGGCGGCTCCATCTCTAGGTAATAGAGACGGTATTAAAGGGGCCATACCGTCTGTAAAAAATAAACGGCCCGCTTGGTGCTGCTCAGTGGTCAGACTGCCGGGTCCGGGGTTCGACTCCTGGCCCAGGGCATGACCCAGGTTGCAGGTTTGTTCCCCAATCAGGCGAGTGTAGGAAGCAACCAATCAATGTGTCTCTCTCCACATCCATGGCCCTCTCTCCCCCCTTCCCTTCCACTCAAATCAATGAAAAAAATATCCTCAGGTCAGGATTTTTAAAAATATGAAAATAAAATAAAATAAAATAAAATAAAATAAAATAAAATAAAATAAAATAAAATATAAAAAGAAACTGCCTTTGTCACCTGACGCTTTAAACACTTAGAGTTCTTTACAGGCGCCTTCCCGGAACCCAGCGGGGCCCAGCCACGTGGCCACGGCACCCCAGCTCAGAGGCCAGGGGAAGCTCTGAGCGTGCTCCTTCCGACACGCTCCGGGCATCCGTCCGAACCTGACAACAGGTAACCACCCCTCGAAACATTCTGGGTGGCTCCTCGGTGCCCAGAGCAGCCACGCCCGCACCCTCCACCTTGCTTCTCCGCTTGCTTGGCTGGGATCTTTCTAGAACATTCTCTGTGGGCCTGCGTGGTAAACGCCTCTGGGAAGTGAGCGCCTCGGCGAGTGCGGTGGAATCGGGGTGGCGGGGAGGAGACAGCGGCCGGCCCCGGGCCCTGTCCCAGGTGTCTCGCGTGTGGGGAGCACTCAGGTCCCCCAGGCCCGGGGGCAGCCGTCTGCCTGGCCCCGGCCCTGGGGAGGAGGAGAGCGGTGCCACAGGTGCCCGTGCTGGGAGGGATGGAGCTGGCAAACCCGGCAGCTGGGCAGCCACGGGTCCGCTCTCCTGGGAGGAGAACGGTGTGGCCACAGGACGGGCCGGCCCAGCGGGAGGCTGGACACAGCGCGGCCAGGGGAAGGGTCCGAGCCGGCCCCGGGGCGGCGGCTCCCTCACTCCGACCCCCCCGGGACGTCCGCATCGCGTATCTCCGCTAAGGGCACGGCGCCTCCCACGCCTGGGCGCTGGCCACGGACACACACCTCCGGCCACGCAGCCACCTCCCAGGTCCCCAGGGTCTTCCCAGGCCCTGTCCACGGAGCCAGGTCCCTCCCCTCGCAGACGAGTCCACGGCGCGAACCTCGGACTCTAGAGTTTAGGACCACCCTCCCTGTGGGTTAGACCGGTGCCCGCGCCCGTCCGGGAGGCACGGTGGTCGCCGTGGCCCTGTCCCGGGCGTCTCTGCACTTCTGTCCGGTGTGACCACGGCAGGTGCAAAGGGTCACTGTCTCTGTCACTGGCTCCTCCCGGCCACACTGGTTCCACCGCACTCGCTGAGGCGCTCACTTCCCAGACGGCATTTACCACGCAGGCCCACAAAGAATCTTCTAGAAAGAAGGTGGAGCCAAGCAAGCGGAGAAGCAAGGTGGAGGGTGCGGGCGTGGCTGCTCTGGGGGGAAGGAGAGGTGGGCGCCGAGGAGCCACCAAGGAGGTTTTGAGGGGTGTTCACCGTTGTCAGAGGGGACCTGAGGGTTCCTCCCCTGCCACCCTCTGCCCTCTCTGCACGTGCCCCCTGCGTCCCGGTGTCCCCTCTGTGGGAAACTCCCGCTAGGACTTAAGGTGACGATGAGTGTAACGCCGCACTGGCACCCCACACTGCACGCAGACGGTCCCCCGGCCTGGTCCACAGCACGCAGAGCCCGCCCCCACCCAGAAGCCAGGGCGTCCCGCACAGCCACCAGCAGGAGCAGGTGCCCGCTCGCCCTGCCCCCGAGCGGCTGGGCCGGGTGCTCGGAGGAGAGCCCGTGGGACCTGCTCTGCGCAGGCAGCACAGCCAGGAGCACAGCCCGTCCCGCGGCCAAGGGCTCGGGGCTGGAGGGTTCTGAAGGCCGGGGACGGCAGGGGAGGCAGTGCCTGACCTTGGCCATGAAGGACGCTCAGTGAAAGCTCCCAGGGAGCCTGGGGCACTCGGCAAGGACACGGCCTGCCGAGTGAAGAAGGACAGACGAGCTTGCCCTCGCCCTCCAGACTCCGAGAGGTCACGGCCACGGGCCGGGGGCAGGCCCAGGAGCCGCCGGGGAAATGCCACGCTGACTCTCTGAGGAGGCCCGTCCCTGGCCCCTGCCCACAGCTCATCCTGGTCCTGGCCTGGGCCACCATGGCACAGCGAGAACCAGCTCTGCAGCCTTCCTCTGAGGCAGCAGGCACAGCACGGCCCCCGACGTGGCCACATCCTGACACGCAGGGCCCGTGGCTATGTCACCTCACCGGCACACGGAACTCAGCCCGTGTGCCAGGCTGCAGGTCTGAGGTGCAGCTTATCCGGCTCTGCAGGTGAGCAGCCTGAGCCCCCATCCTTAAAGGTGGGAGCGTCCCCACCGTGGCCAGGAGGACGGGGGCAGGCTCTGAGTGTGGAGGGGGCAGGAGCCAAGGAACCAGGCGGCCTCCAGAAGCAGGAGAGACAAAGCGTAGATCCCCCTTACGTGGCCCCAAGGAGAGATGGGGGCCCCTGGACACCTTTGTTTTAGCCCAGAGAGGCCCACGTCTATGACCAACAGAACTGTAAGGGGATTTCTCGGGGTGAGCCGTTTTAAGCCACCGCCTGGTGCTGGTTCTAACCCGCTTGCTGTTGGCGCCCCCTAGTGGTCTGGAGGTGCACACTCAGACTTGCCGCCGCTTTTACCAAGTCCATCCCCAGTTAGGCTCTGCTGGGAATGTCCCCAGTTCGATGTCAGCCCCTGTCAGAGGCTAACCCTTCCCAATGCGTCCAGGACTCAGGTTTCCCGAACCCTAGGATTTTCCCTTTTAAAACCAGGAAAGCGCTGGGAAGACGAGGGTGTGCTGGTCTCCATCCCCCGACTCCCGGCTAGACCCCATGGGGAGACCAGGAGAGCCATACGGAGGCCCGGGCTCTCGGGGCCTGCACAGCGGCCTGTAGAACCGCTTCGGGATCCTGATTCGGGGTCAGCAGCGGGAGGGCATACTTTGCTCCTGGTGGGAGTTCACAAACTGAAGATTTGTGAATTGTTTCTCCACTCTCAGCGCAATGGAGAGAGGAGGGTGGGCGCAGGGTGGGGCGGGCGGGACAGAGAAACCAGACAAGAAATCTTCCTCTAAAAGTGTTCAATTCCAACTTTCTCTGTTTGTTTGGAATTCTCTAGCTCTTTCGCAAAATTTTTCAGAAACACATGTAGCTTCCTGCCCTGGCCGGTTTGGCTCAGTGGGTAGAGCATCAAGCTGTGGACTCTGGGGGACAGGGGTGCAGGCTCGCCACCGCCCCTGGGAGAGGCTGATGTCCTGCCCGGATCGGGCACCCCCACCACGTTCTGGAACCCCGACCTGGGGGTGCCCTCAGAGAGGGAGGGGAGGGTGGCCTGGCACTCCTCCTCCGTCTGACCGTCCTCCTCTTCCCCCGCCTGCCGGCTCCTCTCCGCTCAGCGCCCCCTCTGCCTCCTCAGCTCTGTGCCCACCCCTCCCGGCGGGAGCAGATGCGGGCACACAGGTGGTGAGGACAGGCTCCCTGCACCCTGGAGGGAAGAGGCCCCGGGAGAGAGCCGGAGGCAGAGGGCGCCCTCCGGACTCTGGTAGCACCGGGTTCGAGTGCAGGGTGACCACCAAGGTCAGGAGGGAAGGCTGTCGGGGCTGCTTGCAGGCCAGAGGCCAGCGACCCCAGCTGGGCCCCCCGCCGAGAGTGACAGAGACAGTGACCCTCCACCTGACGGCTCCTCCGCAGCCCTAACTTCTCTGCAGGCAGAGGGCCGCCCCCTGGACAGGAACCCCCAGCGGCCGCTGGCCCGGCTCTCCCCTCCCCTAGCGGAGCCGGTGAGGATGGCGGCAACCACGGAGCCAGGCCCAGGAACGGGCTCCCTGCAGAGGGAGAGGCAGGCCCCTCAAGCTTCCTCCTTTCCACTCCGCCGTCCGCACACCTTGTGGGTGCCGTGGACGGACACTCTGCCGGCGCACCCTGTGGCACACGCGTCACACATCGCCCCCGTCAGCCCACGGAGGAAAAGGCACCCAGTGCAGGAGGCCCAGGGCGGAGAGAACAACGGGCATTCCTTCTTAAAGGAACAGCAGCTCGCACCCTGGGGACACCTTCTGGCTGGACTGTGCTTGCAGAGCCGGCCGGCGGTTCAGGTGTCCGTCCTGGTGCTGTGGCCCACGCTCCCTTCCCAACCCCCTCACCCCGGCGCCCTGGCCTCCTGCAGCCTCTGACCCGGCCCGGTGGTCCCGCCTCCCTCTCTCCACACCGCCGAGGCCCCACGGAAACACGCTGCCCGGGACCCAGCACCGTCCCACCGTCACTGCGGCGCGGTCTCGGC